GGCCGCGGCTGCAGCAGCCGCAACAGTAGAAGAAGAGGAAGTCGAAGCCCCCTTTTTAACTGCCTCAATCCTCTTATAAACCTCCTTCAAATTCTGATCAATTACCCATCCAAGATCATTCAAATCTCCCAAATTCAAATTCTGAAGCCCTTTTCCAGTCAACCCCTGATACATAACTTCAGTCATTTCTTTCTCTCTGTTTTCCTTGCTCTGTTTCTTCAATTGCTCACTCGCTTTAGCAATCCTCTGCCTTATGAAACTCTCTTGATTCACCATTTTTTTGCTCTGTTCCATCTCAGGCATCCTTTTAAACTCCGCGAGCACTCGTTGAGCTCCCATGGTGTTTGGCCATACTTCTGGTGAAGTGTCATAAGGGCTATAAATAATAGCACAAGCATCAATACCACAAAGGGTGCTCAATTCACTCACCTTCTTCATCAGACCCTTCTTCCTTTTCTTGAATGTTGCTTTTCTTGCTGAGTCATTAGTGATGAAGGCTAATTTCACTTTCTTTCTTGTCATTTTTTTGGCTTTCTTGGATGCAACAAATATGCAAACAAGGTGAAAAAATATGGTAGATGTAGAGTTCTGTGTTCTTTAGTTTCTTGGAATGGGCATGTTATATACAAATATGAAGATGTTTCACTAATTAATATGGAAGATTTTGTATTTATTTGCATATCTGGAAGATGAATTGATGATCAAACATATTTGGAAAAAATTTAGTGCCCAAATATTTTCAATTTTGATTGCCAATACAATTTTTTTTCCCACCTGACCAGGGGCGGAGTCATGAGTGTCATAACTGGTTTATCCCAAAAAATAAAATTGTTAAAAATTTACAGGATATATACTCGTATACGTGTTTCTTACAAATTATTACTTGCTAATTTTCCTGCAACCCTATCTGATACAGAAACATAAAAGATGAGTAAAATAAGGTTGTTAATAACATTTTTCAGTGGAATTGTAGTTTAAAAGTTGGTATTTAAAATTAACTCTAATAATTTGGTTATTATTTATTTTATAATAAAAAATCATTAGTTGAAATTTGTCACGACTTATTCATAGACTTTAATTCTATTTAACAAAAAAGTATGGTATGTTCAATTTTCACATATCTTACGGACCATATGATGCATGTAAACATATTAATGAATGAGTTGTATAAAAGGTAACTATGGTAAGCTTTAAAATCAAATTATAACGGTCATCCTACGAGATCTCATGTAATCATTAGATACATCATACACGGACAAAAGTGAATTTGAAAATTAATAGATAAATCATAAATTCCAAACACTAATTTTTTTTCTTAGTAGAGTTCATAATTTTTATAGACAAATATTAAGTTATAATCAATGTATGGACTAACAAAGATATATACAGTATTACAATAGTATTTCTCTCTTTGCAACTGTTACTTTAATATTTTCTTTTATCAATGCTGTGTATTACAATAGTCAAATTAGTAGAATAAATTATGTTTCTAATCAAACTTCATTATATGTAGTAGTAATATGATGTATTTCTCTCTTTGCAACTGTTCGTTTAATTTTTTCTTTTATCAATGATATGAATTACAATAGTCAAATTAGTAAGATAAATAATATTATCTAATCAAATACCATTTTATGTGGTAATTAGGGGTAGTTACAACCAATTTAACAAAAACAACTTAAAACGGCCACACACATATACAATAGAACAAAACTATATGAGGTTTCAAACACTAATTTTGAACAAGTTCATAGGCCTGAATAAAACCTCGTAAAATAAAGGGAGCGGAATGTCAAAGCGAAATCTTTTTTTATACATAGTTAGAAACCTTTACCCTTACAAGTTTCAAGTAGAGTAAATTTTAGGCTTAGCAAACATAAAAATTACATTTGTATGCTATAACTATAGTTTGTATAATTGCGCTCCATAACAAACTTTATGTTTGCTATGGCTATTAATCTATATATTTCGGTATACATATACATAAAAATCTGTATTTGTATATTTCGGTATACAAACTAAAACATAGTAATTGTATATAAACAAAATTACTACATACATACAACACATATGTATACCGAATGGGTCTATCTGTATATTCGGAAATAGGTCTTGCAATCAATTTTTATACAACACATATGTATACCGAATGGGTCTATCTGTATATTCGGAAATAGGTCTTGCAATCAATTTTTATACAACACATATGTATACCGAATGGGTCTATTTGTATATTTCGGTATACAAATGGGATGGCAAAAAACATGAAATGTTTGCTGCGAATTACAAATAAAAGAAACTATGGCTATAACATTTAATTTGAATTAATAATTTGCTATTTCATACCATTTTCCCTAATGTATTACAAAAACAAACCACGGAGATTTGATTTGCTTTTACATTTCAAATAATCTCGGCATAACTTGCCCTCCAATAAACAAGCCCAAAATCATTAACGGGCCCATGTGATAACGATATGGGCTAGTTCAGTCTGGGCCTTAAGCCTAAGCCTAAGCCTGTTGCTCACTGGGTAGGATCATACCATATTTTCCACTAGTTTTCCGCCATTTTCAGAGTTGGTATAAAACCCTAAACCAAGAAATTTCAGTTCAAAATTTCAAATTTCTTGCAGAAGCAGTAGATTAACACACCAATTTTGTCGTAGAAAAAGGTTATTTTCTCTTTTAATGTAGTATCATTTTTATTTGTTTTCTGTGAAGAGTGTTTTTAATTATCATTTCTCATATAATTTACGAATTTCCGTTTTTGTGGTGTTGATATTGCAGAGAACGAGCCAATGAAAGTCAAGATTTTGCGTATCCTTTTGTGATTATGTCATTGATTTGAAATATTTAAATGAAGGATACGGTATGTATGTTGGTTGAACAGATAATTAGTGCAGTGAATTATAGCAACTGTTACTAAATCATTTCTGATATGAAAGCTTAGTTTCTGTCTAAATATGTAATTAGTGATTGGATATGACTTATCTTGTGATCTTAGGATTTTAATATCATTGATTTCTGAATTTTGTTGGAGAATGTAGAGCCATTGAACTCCCCCGCAAATCTACTTTAATTTGTGTTTCATCGATTGTTTCACTAAGGTCCATAAGTGCATATTCTGATTTTCTTAAGTAAATGGAGGGTGAGCGTAATGTTGCAAGTTTACAGTTGCTTTGACTGAAGGATATGTTGGCATATTTCCTTGAGAATTGGCTGTATCAGTATATCATGAATTCCCTTAACTTGTTCTATTGGGTGTTTTGCTGGGATCGTGAATAGAGTATGTACTCTTCATGGCATTTGGTATTTTAATTGTTGTCGGACTTAAGACTACATGGCGTGGTTACTTCATCTTACTTTTTTACTTCCTCGTGCATTGCAGATGGCATGCGGTTTCTTCATGGACATGGGATGCTCAGGATGAAACTTGTGGTATATGTAGGATGGCTTTTGATGGTTGCTGTCCTGATTGCAAACTCCCTGGTGATGATTGTCCACTAAGTAAGCCTGTTTATCTCTCCCTAATAGTTTTCTAAGGCATATAAGATACTGGATCGCCATTCACATGTAAACCTAGTATATCTGTATATCTAATGAGTTGCACCAATTCATATATGTTTACTGGATGAAATATTATGTTTTGTACATTGCATATTGGTATTGCCTTATATGTCTGTACATTGTCTATATGTATTTGTACTTTCAACTTTGAGAAACATTGTTGATGCAATTGGTGAAATAATTCAAGCATCAGAATATTCTGGTTCCTAGCTTTGCATTTGTGCCTTTCAATTGAGGCCATAAGCCAGCTGGACTATCTTGCTAAGAGAAAAAAGAAAATATAATTTTGCATTCATCATTTCTTTGACAAAACGGGAAAATACCCCCTGCATTATTTTTCAAGGTTTACATATTTCTACATTGATGTTACTCATGAACACAAGGAGAGCTACAAACTGTTCCTTGACTATATTTGCAGTCCTTCATATTTAGTTTTAATTCGTTTGATTTGGTGTAAGGTACAATTTCTTAGATGCATAGTAGGTGTTGATACTGAAAACTGCATCTAACATGCTAACAGTTATAAGAGTATCTTTTGTCCAAGTAACATTGTTAGCAGCTGTACCAGAGAACTTTTCAATTGAAACTTGTGATACATCTGGAGGCTGGAGCTGTCCAATTATCCTCCATTGCAAAAGAGACTTTCTCAAGACAACTTCTCCCTCTTTTGAATTTGTAGTTAACAGAAGTGAACCTTCTAAAATATAGGTTTAGAAAGAAACTTTGAAGGTAATTGTTAATATAGGGTGTGTTATAACAGCTAACTGAGTATTTTAATCAAATATTTTCACCATAAGCTGTCAACTAAAAGATACTACAAACACTTGTCACGGATGTTGTATTCTTTGAGAATCAGTATTAACTTATTATGCATCTTCTTGATGCTTTTAATATTAACTCTTACTTCGTTAAAAAACCCAAACATATTATGTGTCTGTGTTACAGAGCATTTCAGTGGCTTGACTATATCTTGCTATGACTAGTTCATATTACTGGCTCAATTTTGGATATAGATTGTTAAGTATCTATTTGATTTGCCCTAGTAGTGAGACGTTTGTGGTATTGAATCTATTTGTATCATGCTTTTTCCCATGAAGACTAATGTCTATCTACTCTGATGGAAGCTTGAATAATCACACTGTATCACCATCAGCCGACAACAACTTTTATGCACAATTATGCATGTTAGAAGAGATCAAATTTGGGTTTAGGAATGACCGAATGAGGATAGGCTTCAAGTGCTGGTATTGACCTGTATAAGTTCCCGTAAAGCAGGAGTTTTTTAGAAAATCACAACTTCTCAATAGTTTCCACAAAAAAAATCGTATTCTCTCCTTGTTTGGATATGTAATTTCCTTGAAGTTGGATAAGAAAAAGAAAAAGTAAGAATAAATTATGGTGGTTATTCATGGAATAAAAGTATAAATCTACTTCCTCTGTTAGTTTTTTTAAATCCTGCTAGCAAGACGACCAATCCTAATGGCCTTGGTTTATGAAAGAGAAGAGATGGGGATACAGGACTAGACAGTTCTTTGTTATTCCTTTGTAAGTTCAGTGGGGAAGACGTCTGGGTTTTCTCCAAATAGGTTTTAGTTATGACCTTTTGACCATCCAGTGTGACTCGGAAAGGATATAGTATGGTGTAGACTTACTTATAGGGTTAATAAAAGAAAACAGTTGTTTCAACTAGGTCTAACTTGAGACCTTTTGGCCTTTAAGTTATTTGGCAAAAGTTACAGTATTGGAACAGAGCTTCTTATAGGGTGAATAACGAGAAGACGGAAAATTCAACTAAGTTTAAGTTGTGACCTCTTGGCCGTAGTTTACCTTCCAAACATTAAACTACAATATGACATTTCCATTCCTACACAAGTTGTTCACAGTAACCTTAATAAAGTAAAAAAAGGATAGAGAAGTGATATATGTAACAAGAATTCTAGACACTAGTTTATATACACAAGAACAAGCAGAAGTTCTGTCTTGAAGTAATCTCCTCTCTATGGGCAATTTCTTGAAGAGCATAGGCACTTTATTCTTTCTCTATCTGGACTGCTTCACAATGAGCCGATAGGTATAAGCATGAAACTTGAAGGGGTATTATGTCTAAATGGGGCCTTTATACACCCACCTGTCAAGCAAAGTAAAAAAAAGGAATTAGATACTCTTCATATAAAGTAGAGTATATTATTTGAACTCTAGAATATCTTCTAAGCAAATTGAGAGAATCTTCAAGCTGTTAGATCTTAGTTGAATGCTCCTCCAAACTAAAATGACAGAATTATATTTTACCCTTTTTCTATTTGGCAGTGGAAAGGATGAAATTTAAGAACAATTACCATAGGAAAGGAAGACCATTTGGTGAGGAGTTGAGGGCCCAAAAGGCATAGAGAATACCAGGTATCCACCCAAGGAGAGTCAGCAAAATACAGATGAAGAATTCAACCTGTTTCCAGTACAGAAAAGAAAATTTTCAGAGACCATGTGAAATCTGCACCATCTTTATACAAAATTTCCAGTGTTTTAGAAGAAAAAGTAAAATTTTACTTTCATTTGCATTGTACACTGACAAATCCTTAGCCCTGGCCACCCTTGAACCCCAAAAAGGAAAAAAAAAGAGAGGAGGAAAAGGTAGTCTCTAGTACCTCTCTAGGCCTATAGAAGCAGTGGCGGATCTATGAAGGGCTGTGGGGGTGCCACGCCACCCCGGAACTTCGATGGAAACTCTTTTATACATAGGTATATATATATTATATTTATATAAATATAAAGCGTGCCACCCACAGAACAAAATTGGCTTGTGGTGCCACGGTAGGAGGGCAACTTTAGAAGGTTGAGGTTGCGGGTTCGAATCCCATTTGGCACCCACGGACTCTAAATCCTGGATCCGCCACTGTATAGAAGGCTGGTGGTATAAAAGAGGATGAAGCATGCCCAGCCAAGCCGAATTTGGGAGTGGAAAATCTATCAGATGCCATGTTTTTACAGTTCGCCTGCAGTAGTTTTAAGTTAACTGGAAGGAAGCCTTTTATTTATTTGGTTTATGCATTTAAAGTAATCAAACTAGTGAATTTGATTACTGAATGTCCAAAGCAAAAATAAAAAATAAAAAAATTACTGTAATATGTTATCAAGAAGAGCAAGTAGGGAGAAGGGAGTAGTACCTTGCAACCGAACTTGCGGTAAGCAACAAGGGGAGGCAAGATGATTGCCAATAGAATGTCTACGCATGTCATTTTGCTGTCTTCCATTTTCCCCTCTTCTTCTTCTCTTCTGTTTCTTAACGACTTCTGATAAAATGCTAATTAAACTCCAGATTTAGGAATGTCAGTGGATTTTGAAAAGGAGGTTGAAGTGGTTGCCCTATATGATATAAAATGACAACAGTGACATTTGATTTTTTGCAATATAAATTGGGTTCATCAATTTGTTGTGGATAGCATTGACATGACTTTTGTGGAATGTAGCCCCCTTTTTTTAAAGGCTTATAATGCTTTGATAATTACTTGTCTTTGACTCTTTGCAGTATGGGGTGCTTGCAACCATGCATTTCATCTTCATTGTATTTTGAAGTGGGTGAATTCTCAATCTGCTCAAGCACATTGTCCCATGTGTCGTCGTGAATGGCAGTTTAAAGAATGAACAATAGTTCCGTGCATCTTTTGCTCATGAATGTGGCAGTAGGAAGGAATGAAGTGTCTTGTGTGTGATACTATGAAATTCTAGCGATAATAGCTGAGCTGATATGTGCTCATCCCCATATACAATTATTAATTTAAGCTTTTAAGGCCTAGAATAGATGGTGTATTTTATCAGACTTGGTTGCAAGTGCAGATATTCTATTAGCCATTTATCCCAAAAGTCCTCAATACACCAGTTGCCAGCCATTGCTTGAGAAGAAAAAGATATAACGGATGTTTATTTCTGGTCCAAAGTAGGCAGCCTGTCATTATAAGTCTGGCTCCTTTACAACTGCCGCCTCTACCCCATTTATGCCCCACTTGAAATTGGTAAACAAGCATCAAATGACTCTTAATATATTAGTGTCTTGTGACTCCTTTGATCATGTACATGAAATATCAGGAACGTGCAGGCATGGGCCTAGACGTAACTGGCATAGGGACAATGTTTCGTTTGTGTTTTGTGATATATCTTCAACTTAGTTGTAATATCTTGAGGTGTTTGGAAATTTGATTTCCCAATTCTGGCGTTCCCTCTTTCCATGTTATTACCCTTTTTCGAATTACTCTATCATTAATCTTACTGTTGTTTTATTGATTTGCATGTACAGTGCCTTGTTGCGACACTTTTAAACCTGTGATCAATATGTTTTAGTGGTTGTGAAAGTTATATCATATATGTCTGTTTCATATTTCTAATCGATTGTCCCAAAATCCATTATAATATCATTTTGATTTGAAATAGAGTTCTGTCCATTATAGTAAAAAGGAAATCACTTTTCTATTTGCTTCTTTTATCTTTGGGGATCATCCAAAGTTAGGAATATGAAAGAGAAAATCAGTGATTAATAAGAATCCAAAGCTTAGTTATTGGTGTATGGCAAAGTAAATGATTTAGACATAGCACCACCACTTGTCACTTGCTACTTTGATGATGATTGATATGTGACTGCAGTTTTGTCCCCATTTGTGTTTTCTCTTTGTAAAAAGAGAAAATTATGATTTATGAATGACCCCATTACAAAATTAAGTAGTAGTAATAATCATCATAAGGTTGGTTTTTAGATAAAATCGGACACGTACCAACCGAATATATATATAGATATAATAAAATAGAGTTATAAGCTAATGCCAGCTGTAACACAATCAACATAATCCAATAAAATACAGAGGGGAAGTTACATTACAATCCCAAATGACTCACAATAGTAGCACGATATATGTTTCATCACACAATCTGTCCACAAGAGAAAAATAACCAAAAGCCAAGAATAAATAGAAAAGGCAGCTAGATACTCCATTAGCGCAAATGAAGATACTTGGTAGTAATATGGTCTTCAATTATCCACCTGTCAAACTAGGGAAAAAAAAGAAGGGAATTGGATACTCTTTCTATATACTACTATTATATTGTATGAAAAATATCTTCTAAGCAAATTAGACCTTATTTGAGTACTTTTCCAAACCAAAAAATAAAATAAAATAGAGTAATGAAAATTGAGAAAAAATTACCATATGATGATCACTTGGTGAGGACCCAAATAGCATAGATGATACCAGGTAGCCACCCAAAGAGAGTCAGCAAAACACAGATCCAGAACTCCACCTGTTTTGTTTTCCCAAAACACACACAAAATATATATTAAAATTGCACAATATTTCAAATATCTTTATAAGTACAAACCTATGATAAGTAGAAAAAATTTAGGGAAATTGTGTGCAGCAGTAAGTAAGTTATTTAGTGGACATATGAATTTAAATTAATCGGAGTAGTGAATTCAAAAAAGTAAAATTTAAGAGGAGGTAACCTGGCATTTAAACTTGAGGAAAACACCAAGGGGAGGCAAGATGATGGCCAGAAGAATGTCTATGCATGTCATAGTGCTGTCTCCCATTTTCTCTTCTTCTGATGATGATAATCAAAGAAATGCTAATTAAACAGTAAGTATGTATTTTGATTAAAACAGGAGGAAGTTGTGGCACTATATATAGGCTGATAAGTATCTGAGGGTTAGTTTCGTCTTTAATCACGTTTGCTTCATTATAACTGCTTTGCCTTTATAAACTTTTTTTGGGATTAGTACGAATAGAATTTGCACGGTTCAGGCTCCTCTCCATTTCTCTTCTCTCTATATTCTCCAAGTTTCTATTTGGATTAGTGACACATGCCATAGGTTAAATTAAATGACTAAGATTTAATTTCTAAAGTAAATTTCTAATCATGATTTAAATAATAAATATATTATATATTTAATTTTAAAAATTACTATAACCCCACAATATTAACAACATATTATCTTGTACATAAATTTAGGGGAAAAAAGTTCTCTTCCTAATTTTTTTTACCTAAGGATGTTAATTTAATTTTCTTTTTAAGTTAATATTTTTATTGCATTTTTTCCTTGATTTCTTTCTTTTTAACCATTAGCTATTGAAGAGTATTATTTTTCCTATTTTATTTCACCTTTTTTTTTCTATTTCCTCCAAAATTAACATTAGCTATATTTGACAGCAGTTCAATATTTAAAAGAAAACTAAAAAAGATCCCACGTAAAAAAAAAAAAATTAGGAAGAACTTTTTTTCCCTATATTTACGGACAAGATAATATGTTGCTAAGATTGTGAGATTATAATAATTTTTAATACTTAAATATATATTGAAAAATTAAATCTTAGCCATTTATTTTAACATATGCCATGTGTCACTAATCCAAATAGGAACTTGGAGAAAATGGAGAGAAGCCGGATCCAATTTTCACAACTCATCCCCATTTAGCGCCGACATGTGGCAAAAGAGCTGTAATGGGAGGGATGGACTACTGCTTTCACCCTCTTCATCACATGGGAATTAAGTTGGCGTTCTCATTAAAGGGGACGGTTGGTATCGAGATAAAAGGAATAATAATTTCAGGATAAAAAAATGCAAAGTTAATTTAGCATGGGTTTGGTTAAAAGTATTAATTATTAATTCTTCAGTAATTTACATGAAATTGATGGATTAGTTATCCCACTAATGATAACTTAATTTGTTTGGGAAGTCTTAATTGTTTATGTGTGGGATGACTGATAACTTTTCACTCCATTTGCAGATGGAACGCTAGTACGTTGTTGCACATGAGATGAGTTTTGATGGTTTTTGTCCAGATTATCCGCTAAGTAAGCCTATTTGTTTATGCTACTTTTGTCTAAATTGTAATTCACCATTCACATGCATGTTCCTCAAAATTTAGGGTAGCTAGCATTCTCTATTATATCAAACTACATCTACGCTTCTTTCGATGAAACTTTTTATTTCATTGTTAAGTTAATTGTACCTTCTTCCATTTGTTTCACAGATGTGGTAGCTAGCTTTATATCGGTTCACAAACAGGGGTTTAGTTTTAGTTTTTTGTATTTAAAAGATAAAAATAGATTTTCGAGAATCACATAGTTATTGGTGGATAAGAATCGTTCCTTCGGTAATATGCAACAAAATTAGAACGATACCCACCAGAGAATAACATACAAAACAAAAAATGATTCAAATTTGAAGAAATAATTAATAAACATTTAAGAATTGATAGTTTTGTCTTCCCTTCAATTGACTCCCCTCTAAGACGAGTGTGGAAATAAGTGGAATTGAAAAGTGAAGCTTCTCCAACTGATTGGCACGTGTAGGGATGGCAATGGAATGTGCTTTCGACCTGCCCTGCATAGATCCGCTCCGATTAATTTTTTAATATTTTTTTTTCTAGTTAAGTTAAATATCTAAAAAAAATTCATAAAATAAATTTATTTTTTCATTAAGTTGTATTAATTTAATAGGATAGTGACTTAAAATTTTATTTTTTAGAGGTTAATTGGGAAACAGATAAGAAATTGAATTATTTTTTATTGAACCATTTTTATTTAAAGAAATTATCTTAATAAATAATCTATCACTCTTATAACATTTAAAAAAAAAACAAAACTTAAATCCACATAAAATCATATATACCTGCAACCCACCCCGTACCGCATTAATTTTAAAAAAATTCACTTTAAACCACCCCACCCCGCATAGCCTTAAACCCGACTCACCCCGCATTTGCCCCGCCTATCCCTAGGCATGTGTGGGCACTAGCCAGTCAGCAATCACAATTTGGTCACGAAAATGCGTTAATTATTTGTTTAAATGAGAAGAAAGCACATCTATAATTGGATACATCTGCCGACACACGCTGCTAATATTGCCAACTAGGATACCTAATTAGGATTTGATCTCTATTATTTTATTATTCCCTCCGTTTTATATTACTCAGAGCCTATTGATTTGGCATATCTCTCCATAAAATTTTAATTAAAAGTGTATTTTATTAAACTAAACTTATTAACCATGTCTTGGAATACTACTTTATGTAGTTATAATAAGTAATAAAATCGTCTTGAATTGTCAAAATAAACCAATAAAATTAAACATATATTTTATCTTAAAGAAAAGCACCACCATTATCGCTTACTACTTTGATGATGAAACTGATTGTGACTGCATGCAAATTGTCTATTGTCCTCACTCCCCATATTTCTTTAATTTATTATAAGATGAAAAAAGGAAATTGAGTATAACCGTATTACAGGTGTTGGTGTTGATGATAAAATCAAACACGTCTATTGAAAAAATATCCTACCTACCAACCAGCAGTAGTTAGACTTCACAAGCAACATGTTAAAAAGAGAAACCATAGGAGTAAAACAATTATTGGTATATTCAATTAAAATAACAGAATGCAAGTACACAACCAAAACACTATATATCCAAATTTCCTGACAAGAGAGAATAGTAGCCAATAAAGAAAAAGGAGGGGATAAACTTTGAAAAAATACAAAGAATAAATAAAACAACAGCTAGATAATATACTCCATTAGGGGAAATAAAGTGACTTAGTAATGGGCTTCATCACATATTCACCTGTCAAAAAAGAAAAAGAAAAAAAGTAAAAGGGAATCAGATTCTTTTCAGAAATTGTAAGCAAATTGAGAGAATTTTCAAGGTGTTTGATCTTATATGAATACTCCTCCAAATTAAAATTACAGGTTTATGTTTTACCTTTTTCCTCTTCTCTAGAGGAGATGATCACTTGGTAAGAACCCAAACAGCATAGACAATACCAGGTAGCCATCCAAAAAGAGTCAACAAAACACAGATCCAGAACTCCACCTGTTTTGTTTTCCCAACAAAAAAATCAGAGTAGTAGAAAATTAACTCCGATCGCGGCTAGAAGATGCTATGTAATTCGCTTCATAAATTCTACGCTTTGGTGGATAAAATTATTCAAAGTAGTAAATATTCAAGCGCACAAGTTGATCGGACACCAAACTAAATTAAAAGAAGGGTACCTTGCAGCCAAACTTGAGGAAAACACCAAGAGGAGGCAAGATGATTGCCAAAAGAATGTCTACACATGTCATTGTGCTGTCTCCCATTTTTTCTCTTCTTCTTCTGATAATCAAATACTAATTAAATAACAGATTTAGGAATGTCAATGAATTTTGAAATCATGAGGAATTGGTTGCCCTATATATAGGCTGATGGGTATTTCTCTGTCGAGGGGCTAATTCGGTATTTTCACTTTGGTTCCTTAAACGCGTTTACTTCCTCAGTTGTATTACCCCTCGGCTCTTTTTTTTGTTTAACGGTTTTTAATTTTGCTTTTGGGGGATGAAGACGAATTCGATTTGTACAGCTCATATAATTTAGTGGTGCCACTTGGCAAGATAGACTCTCATTATCTACTTTATAGTATTTCCTCTTTCTTAGGGTCCTACTGCACCCATGCTTTGTTTCATCTTCGAAAATGACAAGCAATTAATACTCTACATTGCAAATTTTACTTTTAGAAATACAAGGGACAATATAAGTGAAATTTTTGCTCTATTATAATAATTTGAGATGAGAAACTGCATAAGTGTTGATTGAAGGGCTATCATTTATTTCATTTATTATTTATGGTAATTTATGCATAAATTTTATAAAATGACAAGTATTGTGGTCTAGCTATTTATAAGAAAGAATGACATATAAAATGAGACGGAGGAAGTATTTCAAAGTGTGATAAGTACAAGTGAAATATTTGAGTTAAATAAAGAACCAGTGCAACTGAATATCATTGGCTCCAATTTTAATGACGAATATTGACGGTCAAAATGAATTTGGGAATTGAATTTGAGTCTAAATTGAAAAGGTACTATTACTATATATTTTAATTGAATCATGTTCCAATTTTCAAATAAAGAAAAAAGTAAAATAATGCCGTTGGACAATTTTAATCACTTCTCAAAAATAAACAATTGGACAATCCCCCNNNNAAAAAATTGGCCCCCCCCCCCCCCCCCCCCGAGATTCTGGGTTCAAATTTAAATTTTAAACTTGTGGTGATTTGATAATTGAAAGGGCCCTTTGGTTTAAACTTTGGTGATAACTAATATGTTCAAAACTATTAAGTATCTCTCACTGTTTTTATTTGTTTATAGCAAAAAAGTTTAGCCCTTTACATATTTGGAAAAGCAGAAAAAGTTTCATCGTATTTTAAGCTGATGACGATATTTTCCCAAAGATCATTTTCTTGGCCAATTGTTCTTTTTCATTAACATTTCTGTTTCATTAGTCATTGTCTAACATTTCTGACTAATTTGCTTACCAAATAAAGAAGAAAATCATCTACCAGCAACATTTGACAATATCTAGAAAACATTTTTTAGGAGTACTAATAAATCTCTACCTACCCATTTTGAGCCCTCCTTCATTCACATATAAAAGAACAACCATGAAATTGGAAAAAAAGGTTTTTTTTTTCATTAAAGATCAACTCAACCAACCATCAAATTTCGTTTTTTAGTTACTGGAGTCACACGTACCTAATATATAACAAAAACTATACATTGAGTTCGTTTGAACGTGTACCTAATAATGCAGTGCATCTTGTGTGGAAACTACACAAATTTATTCTTCTCCGTCCACTTTTAACTGTCATAATTTTCTTTTTAGAGTCAAAACGATAATAACTTTGATTAATATTTTATGATTATTTTTTCATCATATTGATATGCAATTTTTTTTTGAAATTTATAGAACTTTTCGTATAGTTTTTTAATATCTAAATTTTTAACAATTTAACTTTGAAAATTAGTCAAATTGACTTTCGAAAAATGTAACATGACAATTAAAAGTGGAGTTTTTTTTTTCGGAATGATGAAATACATACATACATTCTTGAAAAAAAATAAAAGGTTCTCCACATGGTCAACTAGCTGTAAGAACCAAATTGTCGAAACTTGAAATAAAAGGCTGATGGAAAAACAACTCATACAGATCAGAATAAGAAAAAAGTTGATCAAAAGAAGAAAAGACATATTGTTTGTTTTATCATTTATATTTTTCTTCCACAAATTAAGCTGCTTTCCTTAAAGCCGGGGTCCTTGGTAATTAAGTTGCTCCATCGAAGAGAAATCAAAGTTTCAAATTTAAAACTTGTTCCACAATTAATCTGGATTTAATTAAACAAGAAACATTGCAAGTGCCCAATTGTCGAGGATTAAATAAGTGGTGAGAATATAATTAAATAATTAAAATGTGTTTTTTTAGCTCACATGTTTGACTCAGAAAAAAAATTTGGATTCGCGTTAAGGGTCGTGTTGAGATTATAATTAAATAATAAAAATTATGTTATCTCTAATAACTTAAATTTTTAGATGAGATGGTCACAAATTATACAATAAATGAGTTTATACGTAATTTTATCATTCCTCTAAATTCAAATCAAGTCAATTTGGAAAAAATAATTTATGATAAAACAATTTATATAACTCAAGTTATTTAGCTTATGACAAATAGATACATAGAATCAAAATACCTAACTCTGATTTCCTTTTGTCGTTTCCACCAAAGATATTTCTCCACCTCATAAAATCAAATATTTATTTTTCTTGAAATATAATTGTGTACAAGTGATTTTATTTTTCACACTATTGATAATATTGTGCTCTGTCTTTTTTCGTTTTGGCACATTCAGATTGACAGCGGTATGATTGATATTCAAATGGAAGTCAAATTTTCTTGGCAGGAAACGTAAATTACGTAATATTTTACAGAAAAAGATTATGATAAATAAAGAATGAGTAAGAAAAAGAGAAAAAAAAAGGTGCTGGTATTAGCTGGGGGCACGTGACAGGTTAATTAGTGTTGATTTACATATGAGCCGTCACCCCACGTGTGGGAGGATCATATTCCACGTGTGCCAGATAATGAACCCATGTTTGACAGATAATTTCCAGAATCTTATTCTTCTTAATTTGCTAATAGAATGTTATTACATTCCCAAATCCGGTTTGGGTGTAAAATATGGCCTAAAAATTGATCGTTCGTTCAATTCACTTAAACTTTTTGCGTATCGAGTAAGAGATAATTTTGTATTGGATTTATCACGAATAACTTATTTTTAAAGTGATCTCCTCATGTATAGATACTATTTAATTATTAAAAATCTATTAGGACTTATTATTGGACCTGAATCACCTCTCGTCTTCTCAATGCAAGTACCCCATTCAATTCCATTATATACTATCCCATTTTGTATGACACTTTTTGACTTGACATAATATTTAAGAAAAAAAGGAAAATTTTTGAAACTTCTAATCCTTAGATTTTTGGGTGGTTGTAAATCATTTCATTAATGATAATATGGAAACTTTAAAATTGAATCATTATTTCTTATTATATTAAGATAACATTCCTTTTGTCACGTGGTACTAAGAAGGAAAAAATGTCAGATTGAGGAGTAGTATATAAATAATGAGAGAGCATGCACCCACGGGGTTTGCTAATTCATGTACGGTATGGAAGTGCATTGGAATAATAATGGGCGACAAAGCTTAGCTTGGCCCTTTTCGTCTTTACCAAAGAGGTTAAGGCTTATCTCATTGGGATTGTCTTGAAGAAGCTGTCAAAACATAATGAAAGTATATGTGGGTATTAAGGGTGCAAATGAAGTAGAATTACAAATTGAAACATTTATGGTGATCGTGTTTGCATGTAAAATGACAATATGATGTCGGTCTACATTTTACGCAACATCAAACTTATAATCCGTTGGCTACGGCGTAACAATTACAATACCTTCTTCTTCCCCATGTGTACATTATGGGCTACCTAGCTGCACCACTCAACAACGTAACTCACAAACAAATTTAAGTCAACTCTCCTCCCGTTCATTTTTACTTATCACACAACAATAAATATAACAAGTTCAACGTTTTAAGAAATGACTATAATTAGTAATAAGAATAAACTACAAATTAAATGTTATATTATTTCTTGATTTTTTAATTTGAAAAAGTAAAAATATGAAGATTTTTAATACATGGACAGAAAGTGTATATATTAATTTTATTTATGAATGTTTCTTGTATGATGTTGCATGTCTTGGCCTTTAATGAAACTTAGTACAAACATTAAAATTAATGAAACAAAGTCAACTCTAACTTAAATAGGAGTAGTAAGCTTAGCATATGCATTAATCATTAATGGAGTTTCTTGTAAGCGTTTTTTTGGGGCTGTCTACATCGATCGAGCTGATCACCGACCTTGTTGCCGACCATTTTCTCATGATAAACTTTTATTTTTGTTATGTCGGGATAATTTTAAATCATAGTCCATTTTAAATTACTAAAATCAACTACTTTTTTCGCTAAATTTTTCTAAGTTAAAACTAGAAATTCTTTTGGATATGATGATGCTAAATGAAACAATGGATTGATTTAATTTGCACTTTTTTTCCCAGTGTCATCGATTCCCGTTTGTTTTGAATCGCAACAATGACATCTTCTTATAAAGCATAATCCTTGATAATAATCGATGTGATGTTCTCAGAATTGCACTGCCCAAAATGCCGTGTCAATATTAATTAGTATAATGTTTGACATTGTGAATATAAGATATAACAATGGCGATGAGTTATTACAATACTTGAAAATTTGCAATTCTGAGACGTTTTCCAAAAATTACTACCCAATTTGAATTAACCAAACATGAATCGACTTAGGCCTTGTATGGATTGACTTTTGGCTTATGACTTATAAGCCAAAAGCCATAAGTTAGGATTTCTAACTTACGGTTTTTGGCTTATTTTTGTTATTTTGGCTTTAAAATAAGTGCTTATAAGCATTTTTTAACTTTACCCAAACACTTCAAAACTGCTTAAAAGCTATTTTGACTTAAAAGCACCTAAAATAAGTCAATCCAAACGGCACTTATATATACCTTCAAATGCAGAAACTGAATGATTTCGATCCTTTACACATCAACTAATGCTTGATTTTTCCTGCTCACATACGTTAAAGCAGAGAAGGTCGAATTTGCGTGCTCTATTCTTAGATTAGAGATACATAGTACTCTAAAAATGCACAATGGATGAACTACCATCAATAACGTGTTTTTATTTGTTCTTTTATAAGATTTTGTCATGATTTTTACAATTTTAACTAAGATAGTATCTCATATACAACCTCCTAGCGAG